CTCAGTTTGAATAGGAAAAAATGGAGAAATGAGAAAATTCAAAGTAGATGCACCAATTAACTTTAAAAAGCCTGGGTTAATATCTTTTATTTTAATTTTCGTGAGTGAATATAATTGTAATTTTCTTTTTAGTGAAAATAATGAAGAGCGCCGTGTTCAGCGCTCTCAGAATATTTTAAAACCAGCAGTACTTCGTCTTGAAAATCCCCATTTTCGTGTTCCGTCAACATATCAGTCCAAGGGAGCTACAGTCGAGAATTCAGGTTTTCGCTATAAAGAAAATGGCGACTATTTAAAGCTATCACCAATTACCACTGCGGCAGTTTTAAATTGGAATTTTCGTGCTCCGAGAATATTTCCCTTCCCAAAACATACATTGCCATATTCATTAAAATATAGTTCAGTTCAGTGCTCTCAGAATGTATTAAAACCAGCAATACTTCATCTTGAAAACCCCTATTTTCGTCTTCCGTCAACATTTCAGTCCAAAGAAGCCACAATCGAGAGTTCAGGTCTTCGCTGTAAGAAAAGTGAAAAATTTTTTAAGCAACCACCATGTACCACTGAGGCAGTTTTGAATTGGAATGTTCGTGCTCCGAGATTATTTTCCCTCCCAAAAGATACATTGTCATATTCATTCCAATTATATTGCGTAGAGAAGTGGGTTGAACATTCTACAGCATATTTGGGAAGGTATGAATACAACATCGAACCACCAATATATCAATTTACTAATTAATTTACTAATTAATTTACTAATTACGAAGAAAAACTAAAAAAAAGAAAACACAGTTCTGATTAAATCTATATAGGTAAGTTTTATAAAATATAATATATATATAATATAATATATATATAATATATATATAAATTAATATGTATAATATAATATATATTTATAATATAATATAATATATAATTTGCTCAGAAACTGGGAAACCAGTTTGCGACTACTTAATATAGTTTTTAAGACTCGTCTCATCTTAATTTGATCAGATGAAGGCTTTAATACTTCCCAGTCACAGTCTCATTTCTATTATCGATGCCAAATAGGTGTCAATAAAAATTTCGAACTCATTGTCATTATCATAAAATTGAAGTTATTCTTAATTAATTTAATTTTTTTTTTTTTTTTTCAGTTTAATGTGCACAATCAAAACAAAAAATTACAACTAAGTAAGTAATTGATTTTAGTCTTCTGATGGTGGAATTATTTTCTTATAATACAAAAACATATATTTATTTATATAAATATATTTTATTATTTAATAATTTAAACAATTTTCATAATTTAAGTTTGTTAATGAATATATTTTGACAATTATTTACAAATGTGGTCCATATAATTATATCTTATCAAATTATTTAATATTGTATCTGATACAGTCTCAATAAAATATTTTGAAAATGATTTATAATTTTGTAGATGGGACAATTTGATAGTTGTTAGTACATTAACTTTGGTAAAAAATTTTTTTAAAATATATAAAGCATTTTAAATGAACAGTACATCTAAACATTGATCTTGTCATTCAGTATCTTCCATTTCACAGTTCTACAAATAAGTCCACAATTGATTAATTTTATGTTCTTGATAGTCGAGGTATTGCTAGTCGTTAAGACGGAAAAACAGTTTATGTTTATTAATTAAAAGTAAAAAAGTAAGTAGGTTAATTTAGAAATTTCCGACTTATTCATGTAAAATAAAAAAAATGTTTATATCAATTCTGGGAAATAGAAATCTATTTCCAATAAAAAAGTCGAAGTACATGCATGACATAAAATATTTCAAATCCTGTTAAATACATTAAAAATGAAGTAAAAAATAATAATAAATAAAAATGTAAATAATAATACTAATGGTGAAGTTATATTTGAAAAATACATGTTGTATCTGTGAAATAGCTGGTTTTTTTTCGTTTTGTAGTCGAGTGAGTAGTCGTTCTGGAACAAAATAAACCAAAAGACTCAAATGCGCCATCAAAATGTGAATAAAAAGTTTGAACAAAGTATTATTATTTTTTTTTTGAAACTTTTCGTTTCGAAAATATGCACACAACAATAAAAAAAATATTAAATATGTATGCATAAAAAAGTTTCGCAAAAAATTTGTCAAAATTTATGCAAATAAAATATTTAAAATAATTTTAACGACAAAAAGTTGCAGTGGCGCTTTTAAAACTTGTTACTTATAAGCGTCGTCAGACTCGCGCTGTGGACCCATCGTAACAAAGTTTGGCGGGTGCAACTCTCATAAGGATTCTGACGCTAATGTGGTGGGTATCCCATCCATTTTTTAATATTACATTTTGGGTGGTTCATTCATAATATTCGAATTATTCTGGATTTAAATGTCTGTCTGCCTTTATCTGGATACCATTGCGTATAGCGTGCATTACAGAACTGAGTAAAATTTTAGAGCATTATATAGACCTTAAAGTATTTAAGCATCGTAAGGGGCTTAATGGAAGTAAAATATCTTAGAAGAATTTTATATTAAAATCATTTTTTCTGTGATATTTAATAAATAAGTTTAATAATCCATATTAATAGAATTCATTAAAAATTGTTATAACTATAATTATCTCACGTACAATGAAAGTAATTAACTTAGTCTATTAACATCACAGTTCCATGTCTTTTAGTTCATTAAAGGATTTGGTAGTTCACTTGTTGCCACTTCTTCATGAGATTATCTGAGTATGACTTCTACTCCATGTTTTAATTTCACGGTTGTTTGCAATATCTTATCTGCATTTCTCTAAATAATTTTCTGCGGAATTATTTCTTTTCTAATTAATTTTTGTTCTTATATAGTACGTATACAGGATAATGGAATAAAATTTCAAACACATTAGATCCAAATTAAGTATAGGTATCCAGCTACCAACAAAAAAGCATTTAGTTACGTTATGATTATTATTATTATTGAGTAAGGTATCGTGCCTATATAAGGGACCTACCTATATCTAAGGGATCGTGCACTGCGAGCTAAAAGATCTAATGTGCCACTTTGCCCCTTTGTACGTTATGATTACAGCAACATAAAATTTTACTCTTAATGTATTTCATTTATAGAGCACTAAAATTGATAACCTTCACAACAAAAGAGTTGTTTTACAGCACTTTTTTTAAACTGTAATAATTATTGCTATATAAATAAAAATTCGAATAAAATAAATTGATGTTGAATTATCACTTATTTTAATGTATTATTGAAAAATTAATAACTTTTAGACTGTAGTTTGTATTAAGTTTCAAATGGGAAAGTTATAATTAATATAATTATAATATATGT